TGAGTTCTCTCTAGGGGATGTGAGTTTCCCTGTATGTTTTTTGAGAGATGTGAGTTCTCTCCAGGGGATGTGAGTTTTCCGGTATACCGATAGCTCGACGGCGTTCGGGACGTTACAATCTCATTTTTACTTAGAAGAGAATTCTACATATGTAAATATCCTAGTCGAAAGATACATGCGATTATATTCCAACCAACTCATAAACTGAGCTTGTTTAATTGCAGCACATGGAATCATAAACAATTAGTCGAGGAATAGGTAAATGAAAAGATAGAACCACATTAGTAGAGTTGTGTGAACCACCCCTAGAACCAAATCACCTATACAACGAAAATATGTGTAACATTAGTATGTGGAAGTCAGAGATAGATTGAATTAGCAACATGAAAATAAAAATAATACACAATGGAGAGAATAATTGAATTATCACCTTTAAAATAAAAGGAAGAAACATTTCTATATAGGCAAAACGTTATGGTTTTAAAGATGAGATAAATATTAAATATTAACATAAATACAATGAGATAGTATAGACATAATTTCTTAATCCTTTCTATTTATTAATTGGAGAGTGATTTTTCCAAAAAAAGTTGACGGCTCAGTTCATTTTTTTTTTTTTTGTGGGTGAGACCGCCGTAATTTCTTCCCCTCAATCTCGCCGCCGTCTCTAGCTCCTCACCGTCGTCGGTCCTGTCATCTTCTGGACTTTCCGGAGAGCCAAAAGCGACGGCTTGTTCGAGATCCGAGGCTATGCGATCGTGACACGACGACGAGAAGACTCGTGATGGCTCGAGCAAGGCGGACGAACAAGCATGCTCCCTCCGGCGTGTTCGAGATGCGCTGCTGCATGATCGTGATCGACAGCAAGGAGATGCGTGATGGTTCGCGGTTTGTGGTTCGAGATTTTTGATCCACCTGTTCGTGGTCTGTGCCTCAAGACGATGTTACTCGGCGAGTTTCTGAGGTGGTTCGAGCTTGAGACGGCGAGATCCGGCGTAAGAAAACGGTGGTTTTCAAACCTTGCGAGTTGACTCACTGAGTTAACTCGG